GGCTCCAGGTCGCTGGCCACGATGGAGTAGGAGACGCGACCGTTGGGCCCCAGGTCGGGGTCCGAGGCGCTGACTTGCGCAATAGAGGCGCCTGGGGGATTGTTCTCGGCCACGTGAACCACGTAAGAGGCCTGGTGGAAAACCGGCGCGTTGTCGTTGACGTCGGTGATGTGCAGGGTGATGGTAGTGCTGGAGGAGAGGGGCGGCTTGCCCCTGTCGGTGGCTGTTATGGTGACATTGTATTCCGGAGTCTGTTCTCGGTCTAAGGGTTCATCTGTCACCAGCTTGTAGTAATTATTAGATGAAGAATGAATCTTAAATGGAATATCTCTGCTTAAATTACATGTGACTTCTCCATTTTCCCCAGAATCCTGGTCCTGTGTTTTGAAGAGAGCCACAACCGTTCCTGGATGGGAATCCTCCAAAATCTGATCAGAGAGAGAAGTGATGATTATTTCAGGGTTGTTGTCATTTTCGTCTAGAACTTCTATGATTACTTTACACTGTGTAGAGAGGGATCCTGGGTCTTTGGCTTCTACATCCATGGTATATCTTTCTACTTCTTCAAAATCCAAGGGTTGATGTGTCATAATGTTTCCTGTAGCAGAATCCAGAGAGAACACGTGCTGGGCTTTATTAGCTACACCAAGGAATGAGTAGGTGATCTCAGCATTGAAGCCTTCATCTCGGTCAGTGGCGCTCACCTTCACCACCAAAGTGCCGGGGGGCACGCTTTCCCGAAGACTGACCCTGTACATATCTCGGCTGAACACTGGGGGGTTATCATTGGCATCCACCACCAGGATTTGGATTTGAGCTGTGCTGCTTCGTGGTGGATCCCCGCTATCTAAGGCTGTCAGCACCAGATGATGAGAGCTTTGTGTTTCTCGGTCCAGGGTCTTCTTCAGTACTAATTCTGGATATTTGCTACCATCAGGACTGTCTTTCACCACCAAGGAGAAATACTCATTAGGACTTAATTGGTATTTGCTCAGTGAATTCATGCTAATATCAGGGTCTTCTGCAGACTCAAGAATTGTTCCAGTCCCCGGGGTGACAGATTCACTGATTTCTAAATTTATTTCATCTTTATGGAATCGAGGGGCATGGTCATTAATATCCTCAACAACCACAATGATATGAAAAATATT